TTATATATATATATATATATATATATATATATTATATATATATATGCATTCAAACATATATGTACATATATACATGCATGTCTGTGTGTGTTTCTTCTCCCTTTCATTGTTCTTTTTGAAATTTATTAGACATGAATTCCACATGGATGTGTATGTATTTATGCATATATATCTGTGAGAAAGAATATACATACATATGTATGCACTCACACATACACAAACACACACGCACACACACACACACACACACACACACACACACACACACACACACACACACACACACACACACACACACACACACACATATGTATATATATATATATATATTATATATATATATATATATATATATTATATATATATATATATATATATATATATATATATATATATATAATATATATATATATATTTATGTACATATTTATAGGAGGGAGCATTGGGAGTGAATGAGAGTGGGTCAGTTCAATTTAGTTCAGTTAGATTTGTAAAGACAACTATTTCTATTCAACTCATGTGAGAGAGAGAGTGGGTCAAAGGTCGGGTCAGTTGAAATACCCCTGGCTTACGGCGTGTCTATGATGGCGTGAGGCGCAAGTATGGCTTGGGTTCGTACGTGGCGACTGTAGCGTCCACGCGGTATAAATGCACGTGGTCTGCGAGAAAGTAGGACTATGCAGTATGCTATATCGCTCGGCCACCTATTCACGCCTTGTCCTCGTGGCATCATTTGAATTACTTCAAGGATGACCTATCCTCAAACCTGATCTCCAGCTCATCTTGTCGTGTTCTTGTTCTCGGTCGTCCTCATGTTGCTCCTCATTGTCCTTGTGCATTTATCTGACATCGACGTCCACACATCCTCAAAGGTTTTGCCTAGGTCCTCCTTGACTTTGGGTCATCTAGCCATCCTCGTAGTCCTCATCCAGGTGGTACTCGGCAGCGTCTTTGTCCATATGTCCTCGCATATTCGTCCAGGTCCTTCTCGGCTGCAGCTCGTACAGACATCCTCATAGCCTGCATCTGGGTCTACAGGCGTTCAAGCAGAGGCGTCCTTTCATCTGAGGGCGGTTTATTCCTGTGTTGGGGAGCTCCTGGAGTTTGACCGATCTACGGGGAGCTCCTGGAGTTTCACCGATCTACGGGGAGCTCCTGGAGTTTGACCGATCTACGGGGAGCTCCTGGAGTTTGACCGATCTACGGATGTCCAGGCAGGTGGTTTTCCATATCATCCTGGGACCTGCTCTGGTAGTTCCTGGTTCTTTGTTGGATCTACGGGCGTCCTGGCAAGCGGCGCCCTTCCACTTCATCCTGGGCTGCTTAATACCTGCAGTAACGAGTCCTGGTCCTCTGGCCTGCGGCGATCTTCTGGCAATATTCGTCTCACAGCATTGCAAGGCGATCGTGCTGCAGTTAGATCTCCTTTGATGCCGTGTCGGGTATACATGGTCCACTTTAATGCACTGTGAACCAGATCATACAAATAAAGGCCAAGATAGTAAGAGAAAAAGAAAAACGTCAAAGAGGGAGGGATGTTGTTTGTGCTACTAGCTGACGTTTTTATGCTAATTTGCAGCTTTTAATTTGCAGTTATTTCATTTTTGTTTTTTCACTTTTGTACTTTTTCAAGAAAATAAGTAAAGGAGAGGAGAGTAGCAGTACTCTCAGACCATCTTGAACTACAAACCATCTCAGATAGATATGAAAATAGATATGGGAAATGAGATCGGCAATCCCCTAGGATATACTTGAACTAATTGTCATTTCATAGAGAAGAAAAATGTGTTGTGCATCATTTTCACTATTCACGATTGGCAACGCCACAAGCCAAAAGAAAAGCCTGGAACTACAACACAACAGTTCCTATCAATGAGGATTTGTATATATTTACAGTGTCTGTTGACTACGTAGAAGAGTGTGTGTAATGATTGCATGTTATGTTGTGACTCATCACATTGGCAATATCGCGGGTTTAAGAGATAACCTGCAAGTACGCCACAACAAATCCTATCAATGAAGATTTGTATATATTTAGTGTCTGTTATCTGCATGTATATAAATATGTGTGAATAGCATGAAGAGAAAGCGCGGGCTCACACAAGGAATGAATCACAAACACAATATTAACGTTTATTTTAACAATAAATGTTATAATCATTAAGTTAAAACAACGATTATTTCAACTACCACATTGAATTCAACATTAAATGATATGCGACTTAATGTACACAAATATGAATGGTTACATGAAAATTCTTTTGCAAGCCTCTTACAATGCAAGCATCCCAGTTCAGAAATGTTTTTGCGCTATCTCCGATTATTTGATCGTAATTACCCCTTAAGAAAATATCTTATAGAATTCTATATAAATTCTATAGATTTCTATAGAGTTTTTATAGAGTGTATAGAATTGCTATAGAATGCCATTAAAAAAGTTCTATAGAGAATGTATTTTATAGAAATACCATAGAGTTTCTATAGAAAGTCCTCAATAGAGTCTATAGAACTTTCTATAGAGTTTCTATAGGAAAGTTATAAAGGTCATTTTCTGTTGATCACTCAGTAAATCCCAAACCAGTGGCATCACATGATAAAGGTGAATGAACTGAACAATTAATTGATTGCTCAAGAAGTGAATTTGAAAGCACTATGTGAGGACACTTTTAACTGAAATCGAACTTCATTGAGAAGTAACACGCCAAAACTGTAGTTATGGATTATGAAATAATTTATTAGAAATTCACATGCTTCGGCCTTTGCCTAGTATAACTGTCACGGTCATCAGTCGATGACATAACTGTGATAAAAATTCTACGCAAATTCAGCTATTGCAAATAAATGGGTCCATTCAACCTAGTTGAGAGATAATTAAACGTGCAAGATGGCGACAAGAATTTCCTGTACATCACGTTTTCTGGATTTTTTTTCTTTACAAAACTTGCTATACATTATAAAGATAACATACAAATTGACTTTGTATCAATGTGGTTGTGGAAAAATGATAAATCTTTTCTTGAATAAAACAGTGTAAGCTTTGGTGGTATTTGGCAAGTTTTCTTAGATGCCAAATCCCGCTACCAGACGTTTTTTATTTATCTTTTATTATTTTATTTTATTATTTTTTTTTGTTATTTGTGTATGTTAACGAGTTATGGTTCTAAATATAGTATGTTAGAGGTTGTAGAATGTAATTAATGGGTATAGCAAGGTATTTGAAACTTTATTTATGTGCAATGCAGTGACATTGAGGGATATTTCGTTTTTCTCCAGGTTTTCAACTGCCAAAATGTTACCATTGTTCGATATTTGTGTGTGTTAAAATTTGTATGTAATTATGGTATAGCTAGGTTTATAGAATAAATTTACAAGCCACTATAATGTGTTTGAGATTTTATTGATGTGTAATGCATTGACTTTGAGTCAGTTTTCGTTTTGTGCCAGGCTGTTCATATTTTGGAAAAGGCCCAAGAAATGTAAACATTGATGCTCGCGTTCCTGGGAGCTTGAAGAAATTTATGAGATTCAACATTTCTACGGAATTGTGAGCATCACCTGTGCAATGTAACTGTGCAGTACAGTACTGTAAACAATCGTTTTAAAAACGCAATATCTTTCGGACACAACTGAAAGCGAGCATTGGAAGTTCGGGTAGAGGTTGAAGACCGCGACGCGCGTAGATAGAGGAAAATGGACACCGCCATCTTATAGAGCGGGAAAAATAGAAGGGGATAGCGTATAGTTTAAGATGCACCGGCCTTATAGTCACCGCTAAATGACGAAAATATAACGCGCGGCCGCCTTTCAAATTCAAAGTCGATGAGCTTGTTTACCTTGCTAGGAAAAAACACGACACTGACCCACGAACGCATTTTTGCGTTCGCGAACTAGTCCGTGTATCATTACGCGCTTGTCAAAACGATATTTGGCTAATTATCTGTGTCTGCTGGTACGCATTTATACCTTTAAAGTCTTTTAGTAATGTTATTATACTTCAATTGCCTATTTTTATATTTATCTATACCCTCAAATCGAATCCTGCGCATCGAGTGTTTCACACTTTCTTGCGCCAGCCACAGGTTGACAGCTCACCAACCCGCCCATTTCGAGATTGAAAGCCGGTGAGAAATGTTGCGTTTCCAGTGTTGTGTTGATTCTGGGTTCTTTTTAAAGACCTTTACAGTGGCATCGAAGAATAATTCGACTTCAGTAACCATCCCAGTTTTATATCTGAGCTCATCAAGAGCTCCAAAGGACGAAAAAGGTGATTAAAATCGAAGCAATCCCAACAGTACAAAGAAACGAAAGTTTCACGTTTCCGGATATAAAGGTATTTGGTTTATTATTTTACGGTGTGAATGCAGCTCTGTCTTGCCGTACATACCGTGGTGGAGAGAATGTGTCCTGGGGGGTGTTGGGGGGCTTGCCCCCATCAACCCTCCCCTCGGGCAGTGCCCGAAGGGCACGCCTAGTCACGGCAATTTATATTGATATATTAGGTTGGTTGGTTTATTGGTCAATACGTTTTTGGGGTTTGGAACGTGTGAATTCCCGTAGATTTTTGCCGAAATATGGGTTGGGTTCCCGTAGAGTTTTTTATTTATTTCGCGTCAGTCCGTAAACTTTCAAAGATGGCGGTTACATCCGTAGAGTTTCATTGGCCGATTTTAAGCGCTTTTTGTGCTAGTTTTACGCATTTTTGATCGTTATGCTTCTTATTTAAGCTTGTTTTACCCCATAATTTCCCTGATATACTTCATGCCCTCCCCTGCTAACGGGACTATCAAATCAAGATCGTCGATGGAGAAATGGTACTCGATCTCCTGAACGATTCATTCGCAAAAGAAACAACGCCGAAAATCGATGAAATCATAGGATTTCATGCAGAAAAACATCATTTTTTTTTCGACTTAGTCTCTGCGAAGGTGCGTCGCGGTCTTCAACAATTACCGAAGTTCGGAACCATCAACGCACATGGTTGCTGAGAGTCAACAGCTGTCTCCTGAGCATCTATCTATCATTTCGTGTGGCGAAGACTGGCTTCACCGCCGGACAGACATCTTTGGAGTTTTATGAAGGTAAGACAAATAAAAACAGTATATCACGTGTATTAATGTACGTAGCAATGCGAGAGAGGCGAAGGTGATGCTGGCCATCACCTTCGGAAAATCTTTCCTGTGTAAACTTTTTGAGTCCTGTATTCTCTCGGCGTTCTCTAAAAAGATGTGTATTTCATGACACATAGTTGATAGAAAAATCATATTGATTTATTTATATCACTAGCGTGCCAACTAGTAATAAAGTTGAATTATGGTTTGGCAATGTTGGGAAGTATTACCATTTCTTCGATTAACTAAGCTGTTAACTCAGCTATTACCAGAATGTGCAGCTATTTACAGCTAGTTAATTCTCCGATAAATGAGTTGGGTGGGTAATTGTTCAAAATAGGACTGCATGGAGAGATGTCGCCTTTATACTTTACATGCTGGCAAGGGCCAACAAATGTCCTGAGTTCATGATTAACAAGTTAAAGCTTAATCTAGGTCATATAGTTCATTAAAAAAGAGATTGGGGAGTCTTCTTGCTTTCACCAGGGGGCTATGGCATATTGTGGCATTATTGAACAGCAAGAGCAATATATTCGCAGTGGGAATAGCCTTACTTTATTCAAAATATTTTTTTCAAACATACTAGTTTTTTCACGAGAGTTCTTTATGACCATAAATATGGGTTCTCTCAATCTCTGTACATTTGTACTTCAATAATGCAAAATGTTCATGCGAATTTTGAAAAATTTCAAATATATCAAGAACATATATAGTACCAGGTGAATGGGGAGGCACTCAGCAATTAGTTGGGCTGAGTTGAAAGAGTAGAGGAAATCTGCCCACCGTGTTTAGTGGTCAGAAATAAGTGTAATCCATTAATGATGTCCATGAGGCTGTGTGCACCAAAAATCTGCTTTAGAAAATCAACTGATTACTAAGCACAGCGTGGGATGGCCGAGGTAGTATTGTACATCTAGTCACTTAAAAATTATGCTCTTTATACTAAGGAAATTGACTGATTAATTTAAGATGAATTTAAATTTCATATAAAATACACATTCTTGCAGCATTCTATCTTATATGCAGCTCTAACTTCTCTGTAACATAGTAACAGGGTCCTTCCAGCTAGATAAACAATTTGTTTAGAAATGTCTATGGCATCAGTCTGCAAATATCTATCACATTTCAGGAGTCAACAACATTGTGACTTGACTACATTAGTTTTCAAACTCCAATCAGTGGCACTCTTCAGTGAGGACGAGGAGATGGCGATAATTGACAGCATTGAAGTAAGTTTGATCTCCTTAGCAGTTATGTGAGGTGGGAGAAAGAAAGTGAAAATATTATTTCGTGGTCGTGAATGGTGATTATGGGAAAGATTTAGGGAGGGTGTAAAAGTGTTGATGGTTAAATTGGCAGGTAGATTTTATGATTAATCTCAGATTTCTCTTTCCTCAGATGACCAAGTCTCCCACTCCCATGCTGGTGACAAATAACACCTTCCAAGATGTCATGACCACAAGAGAAATAGCACACTGCTCTTCTTTCAGAAGGAAAACCAAAAGTGCCAGCATCTGCCTGCGAACTTGCAATATTTACTTTTAAATTTTATTTATACATCAAATACATTTGTTAATTATATTTTTGTTATTTACTTATTCATGAATGTTTGTATATATGTATTTATGTATGTATTATGAATGCAGTCATGTATGTATATATGTATGCATTTATGTATGTATTATGAATGCAGTCATGTATGTATATATGTATGCATTTATGTATGTTTATATGTATGTAATTATTTATGTCTGTATGTACTGAAGTATATATATATATATATATATATTATATATTAATGTATATGCATATATGTATATATGTATGTATTAATTTATTTATGTATCTATTTGTATATGCATGAATATATTTGTATTTATACACACACACACACACACACACACACACACACACACACACACACATATATATATATATATATATATATATATATATATATATAAATATATATATATATATATATATATATATATATATATATATATATGTATATTATATATATATAATATATATATATATATATATATATAATATATGTCTATAGAAACTCTATAGGTAATTCTATACAAATTCCTACAGAAACTCTTTAGAAATTCTAAAGTTTTCTCTAAAGAAACTCTTCAGAATCTCTAAAAGTTTTTCTATAGAAACTACAGAAACTCTAAAGATTTTTCTAAAAGTTTTTCTATAGAGCATTGAATAAAAGTTATATAGAGTTTCTTTAATTTTTTTATAGAATCTCTATAGAAAATGTCTATAGAAACTCTATAGACAATTCTATACAAATTCCTACAGAAACTCTTTAGAAATTCTAAAGTTTTCTCTAAAGAAACTCTTCAGAATCTCTAAAAGTTTTTCTATAGAAACTACAGAAACTCTAAAGATTTTTCTAAAAGTTTTTCTATAGAGCATTGAATAAAAGTTATATAGAGTTTCTTTAATTTTTTTTTATAGAATCTCTATTGAAAATGTCAATAGAAACTCTATAGACAATTCTATACAAATTCCTATAGAAACTCTTTAGAAATTCTAAAGGTTTTTCTAAATAAACTCTTCAGA